AGAAACCTTTCCCTCTGAATCATAACACTTTTGGGATTGAATCAGAGGATGCAGATGCTGAGAGGAATCTTGGGGGTTCTCTATAGAAGTTCAAGCCTCTGACTTCACAAACAAAACAGACAATGAAATAAAATTATGTGCCCAGGACAGCACAGCTAATAACAGAGTTTTTCCTAGAAAGTGTGCTTTCTGACTCTTGGCCAAAACACACAACCCAGCCTCCATAAAACCCCTCTTCATTAATAATCCATCCCCCCCACCATGATGCTTCCAGAGAGCCAAGTGGACATAATTAAGAGATGTTTAGCTCAGTGGATAGAGCATTGGCCTGCGGACCAAAGGGTTCCAGGTTCAATTCTGGTCAAGGGTATGCACATCGGTGGCAGGATCCTGCCTGGCCCAGGCCCTGGTCAGAACATGTGCAGAAGGCAACCAATTGATGTGTTTCTCTCACATTGATGTTTCTCTCTGTCTTTCCCTCTCTCTTCCACTCTCTAAAAATCAATGGAAAAATATCCTCAAGTGAAGATTTAAGTAAAAAAGAGAAAGAGATATTTGGCCCTGGCCAGTTTGGTTCAGTGGATAGAGCGTTGGCCTGAAGGGTCACAGGTTCAATTCCAGGAGGCAGCCAATCGATGTGTTTCTCTCACATTGATGTTTCTCTCTCTCTCTCTCTCTCTCTCTCTCTCTCTCTCTCTCTCTCTTTCCCCCTCCCTTTCACTCTCTCTAAAAAAATAAATGGAAAATATCTTCAGGTGAGGATTAACAACAACAAAAAAAAAGTTATCTGCAGGACTGAACAAGGCATGGGCTAGAGCCACGACTCTCCCACATGCTTAAAGGAGCTTAGTATTTGAAACTGTGCTAACATTCAGGGCCAGGAAGCCCATCTTAGGTCCCAGAATAACTCTCAACCTACACCATCCAATTGGTGGCCACTAGGCACACGTGGCTACTGAGCACTTAAAATGTGGCTACTCTGAGTTGAGATGTGCTATACATGTAAAATACACACTGGATTATGAAGACTCGTATGAAAAAGAATGAAAATTTATCATTTAACAATTTTATATATGTTACATATTGAAATGACAACTTTTGGGATATTGGTTAAATAAATTATATTTAAATTAAGTGTACCAGTTTCCTTTTTATTTTTTAAAATGTGGTAACTAGAAAATGTAAAATCACGTATGTGGTTCACATAGTATTTCTATTGGCCAGCACTGCTCCAAAACACAGCTAACCCCCTTCCTACCTAATCCTTCCAAAAAGATGTAGCCTCCTGCCTAAAGACATTACAAAGGGAAAAGATAAAGTATCAAGGACATGCTTTTTATCCTACAGCCAGTGGTTGGGACCCAAGGTTTAGTCACTTAAGCATGCCCTGCAGATTGTCCTGTTTTGTGCCAAATCTTCGGGTCCCTCCTGCTCAACCTTCCCCCAAATAACCCATAAGTCAATCAAGGTCCTATTTAGTCTGGACAGCATTTAACAATCTACAGGGAAATTCTCTTTCACGTCTATTAAAACTTTTTTCCATTACAAAAAAATTCTCTGCTTCTCAGATTATTATTTCTGCAAACACGAGTTAGGTAGGTGAAGGCCCATCCCTGGTTGTCACATGTAGCCAGTCCCAGGGGACCACATTCCAATTGATTTTGGGGTTTGCTGCATGTCCCCTTTTCCTTTTTCCTGACTACTTCCCCCTCTATCCACCCAAGCAACTTTCCTAGTAACCTTGATCATCTATAAACTTGTTAATAGTCATAGCAACAAAATGAGCAGTTAAATGGAAAGAAAGATGGGCTACTGTCCAACAAGAGCAATGTTTCTGGCCCTGACCAGTTTGGCTCAGTCGCT